GATCTCAAGGTAAGTAGATATATATATTCTGCAAAATATAAGGCTCAATGATATCACTATGCACTGTTGTCGAATTCGCTGTACGAAAAATGAATGCCCCAACACCGGGAGCCACGTTCATTTTACGAATCATCGCCGTATCTACCACGTTGCAACTTTATTAAGAAAGAGAACTGTAAAAACCTTTGACAACGCAAATGCAAAGGAAAACGAAGATCGCAAACAAGACCTTAAACCGTAAACCTTCGTACGAAGCAAAATCGTATACGATCTCATCGTAGGTGAAATCCTAAATTGCACGGGTCTCGACGAGGGTGTGAAGCAAGCCACTTTCAACACCTCGTTTGCAAAAGACCTTTGATGTTACCACAATGTTACGATCGCCCGGAGCCCCCGGCCAGAGAATCGACCTATAGATCCTGTCACTGTCGGGTTAATTCCTTTCCGCGCGTCGTTCTTTTCTCGACCGTTCGCCGCGAACTGCGTGGTCCTTTGGTCGCCTTTATTTATACACCCGGTCGCGCGTGAAAAACGGAAACGTCCAGCGTCGCGACGTTCAATTCCCGCGGAAAATCCGCGGTCACCGCGGACACTTAATTGCTTTTTCCTTCGCCCCGTCGGCGAATCTTCCCTTTGCCGCGCGGTCGAAGGCCCTCTCCAGCCTCTCGGGATCCTCTGTTTCTTCTCTCTCGTTAGCCTCTCATCCGCGCTTTATATTATCGGCCTAATCGTTCTCCTCTCTGTCCCGCCCCTCCCTTTCGTTCCACGACCGCCGGCTGAACTCACAGGAAGATCTCGGTTTCCTCTCTTTTGCTCCGTTCGTCGTTCTTCTTCCACGTTCTTCTCCCCGGCTGGCTCCGCGCCGCTTCCGTGTACATAATGCAGCCTGGATGCACGGGCTAATGTAAATTAAGCCGTGCATGCATATTAACTACGTGTTGTTCGCCCCGCGTAACGGATGCGCCGTGATATAATCTCACTGTAACACATTCGCGGGACGACGCGTTGAATTATTCGCGGCTACGTCCGCGGAACGGTACTTCGATGCGACGCGGTCGCGTTCGAGCTGCAGCGTTTTAACCGCGGCTAACGAGCCGAGGCGTCTCGACGCTCGCGAGAAGGATCGTTGGTCGCGTGACTGGGCCCCAAGCTTTTGAACACCACCGTGGAAAATTGCCACGATTGTCCCTTGCGTCGGATACTTCGAATTTTCAAGGCATGCAACTATATTTGCAGTTCCTTCTAATTTTAATTCAGGGCACGGCACATTTGGAACAGTCTACTTGTTGTTTGCATTTTGAAACATTAAAATCCTCCAATCCGTCCACGAGTTATGATATTTTAACCATACACATGAAACTTCAGGAGAATTTCATGATCAGATATTGTATTTTCGCTAAAGAATTTTTTTTCTCGAAAGTGAGTAGGATTTCGGGGGTATGTCTATTCACCAAAAATGATTGTAATTGACCCCTGGTACGAAGAATAATTTTTTTAGAACGATTTGAAATTTTTTAATTTTGATGAAAAACTTGACCACCTACTCGAATTTTTTTCTCGAAAACGCGTAGGATTTCGGGGGTATGTGTATTTATCAGAAATGATTATAATTGGCCCCTGCAACTAAAAATAATTTTTTCAGAACGATTTAAAACTTTTCTTTTTCAGGGTAACCAGACAGTTGTTGTCAGACATTATATTTTCAGTAATGAATTTTTTTCTCGAAACTGCGTAGAATTTCGAGGGTATGTCTATTCACCAAAGATGCTTGTAATTGACTCCCACAAACGAAAATAATTTTTCCAGAACGATTTGAAATTTTTTTCCCCGTCGAAAAATTTCACACCTTCTCGAATTTTTTTCTAGAAAGTGGGTAGGATTTAGGGGGTATGTCTATTCACCAAATATGCTTGTAATTGACCCCCGCGACCAAAAATAATTTTTCCAGAACGATTTGAAATTTTTGAATTTAATTGTTAATAACTTTTTAACGAAGTCTAACTCGATAACTTCGATTGTTACTTTAATTAAATCATTCTAACATAAACATAATAATAATTTAATTGTTAAAAGCGTATAATCCCGGTCTAAGTTCCATGAAATCATTTAAGTACGCAATATTGGCGTTCGAGCTACAAATTTTGTCCAAGGAAGCGAAAGATCGTAAAATAAAATATGCTTTCGCGAATCTTGAGCAACACCCCGGTACCAGACTCCGATTCCACGTATTTACTTTCTAGCAATGAATAATGCGACCGCCGATCGTTATGATAATGACCTTACAACGCACAAAATGCAATCAGTAGCGCTAGCTCATCGCACAACGAATCAGATTACCGGCTGTAATCGTATAATATTCTTTCCCAGCCGCTAATGAACCCGTACGCGCCACTCATTAGACACTGACGTTCAGGAAACAGTCTCGTATAATGAATGGTACACGTTTTTGCTCGCGGTGCTCGGTTGTCGGACAAATCATCGCGAATGAACGGCTACCTGGATGGTATCGTGATATCTGCGATCTTGGCGGCAATAATTTACAAACCAGATTAAGACACGTGCTATTACGATGCTGCGCGCTTTATCCGTTCACACATCGATTTTTCCTACGTTGTAATTTTACAATCGCTCACCGAGACCAACGCTGTATAGCAATATAATTGAAACAGGTGTTGCTGGATGCCTTCCGAAGTCTATCGACCGAACTGTTCATATTTTAATAACGCTCTCCAACGATCGACTGACAAGGAGAGATCACCGTACCACTTTCATTTTAACGATCTCTCGACGACAGAATCTATATTTCTAACGATACGCGTGAAATATTAAGCGTTTGACATTTTTAATGATACAATTGACTGAAATTGCTCGGTGTAACGAAAGAACAATTATTAGTTATTCTGAAGATTTCAACGCCTCCTCGCCCCAATGATTCCACGCACGTGCGTCGATTGAAAAATTGCGCTCGAGCACGGCACACCGGTTCCAGAGACAGTTAAATCGTCCTTGCAGTTTACGAGTCACTAGTCGGTTAAGCACTCGACTCCTCTGTAATGAACGTCAATTACCGTTAACCTTCGAACCAAGCTTTAATTCCGTGTTATTGCAAGAACTGTTATCGAGATACGCTATTACAATCCGTCTAAATACGCTTGGATTCCAGGGATACGTTTCCAAGTAACGTTTCTCAACTAAAAAGTTCCGACGGTAGAAAAGGAAATCAATCTGTTTTCAGCCGTCACGAAGCAATTCAACTTCTTCGATCCGTTACATCTGCAATAATTACTCGTCTTCATTGTTCTCCGCACGGCGAATCGATTCGAGACAAGCAATCACGCTCGCCTGTATTTGCAAGAAAATCTCATTTCCGTCCGCGTGTTCCAACGAAGTCGGACGATAAAAGCAACTTTCGACGCGTTAATCATAGGGATTGGGAAAGAAAACAAAGAGATGTTAGACTGACCGTAAAAAAACCTTCCAGTTTGCCGCGTTGTGTTCGCTTCCTAGCTCTCGACGAGCTCGTTCATAGCGGATGAATGCAACGCGATTAGAAGGTTCGACCGAACCGAGCGGATGAAAGCTCGCGAGCCACCCAGGGGTGCTTCCTGCGCTTACTGATAACTTGCTAATTAGCAGCGAACTTCGCGAGTTGCTTGTACTAGGGGATTACCGGCGACGAACATCGATGACGTTTATCGGAAAACGATCGATCCGTGTGCGTTCACTGCACCTTTTTCCCTAAAATGCATTCAGAACGCGAAACGAAAGCTTTCCTTGCGTCTCGTTTTCGAAATAATCCGGTTAGAAAATTTGTAGTGTTATACGAGTCATGTGTACTTGTGCACGATGACGCGTCTGTTCATTACTGGCTGTTTCTACTTACATGGATGTTCGACTCGAATACTATTCGCGACCTCGTCTACAGTTACTCCCACTCGTATTCCTACACTGGTAATTGTGTATTTGCTATAAATAACAGGAAACTTGTTCCTTATGAATTGTCACCCATGTATTTTTAGCAAACGTTGTTTATTGCACTGTGTTATTTTAATTTGTGAAGTAGTTTTATGATACTTCTATTTACTTACTTTTGTTTCTTATGAAATGATTCCCATTTATTTTTAATAAATGTTGTTTATTACACTGTGTTACTTTAACTTGTGAAGTAGTTTTATGATACTTTTACTTACTTACGTTTGTTTCATATGTATTCTTTCCCATTTATTTTTACCAAATGTTGCTTATTGCACTGTGCTATTTCAATTTGTGAAGTAATATTATGATACTTCCATTTACTTAGTTTTGTTTCTTATGAATTCTTTCCCATTTATTTTTACCAAATGTTGTTTATTACACTGTGTTATTTCAATTTGTGAAATAATTTTATGATACTTCTACTTACTTACGTTTGTTTCATATGTATTCTTTCCCATTTATTTTTACCAAATGTTGCTTATTGCACCGTGCTATTTCAATTTGTGAAGTAATATTATGATACTTCCATTTACTTAGTTTTGTTTCTTATGAATTCTTTCCCATTTATTATTACCAAATCTTGTTTATTACACTGTGCTATTTTAATTTGTGAAGTGGTTTTATGATACTTATATTTTCTTAGTTTTGTTTCATATGAATTCTTTCCCATTTATTTTTACCAAATGTTGTTTATTACACTGTGTTATTTCAATTTGTGAAATAATTTTATGATACTTCCATTTACTTACTTTTGTTTCTTATGAATTCTTTCCCATTTATTTTTACCAAACGTTGTTTATTACACTGTGTTACTTTAATTTGTGAAGTAATTTTATGATACTTCTACTTACTTACGTTTGTTTCATATGTATTCTTTCCCATTTATTTTTACCAAATGTTGTTTATTACACTGTGTTATACTTCTCCATTTACGAAGTGGTTTTCTTTTAAACATTAACAGGCAAGTATACCCAATTACAAAACCGATAGAGAGGTGTAATACAAACAGTATAAAATAACAATAATGCCAACAATACGCGGGTGTTCCCAAGCGGTCACCCATCCTGGTACTAACCGCGCCCAACGTTGCTTAACTTCGGTGATCTGAGACGAGAACCGGTGCTTTCAACGTGGCAGGATCGTTGACAAATGTTGTTTTCAATTTATTCAAACAGGGAACCCTTAAATATCTCAACGCGTGACACAAATGGACCCATACCAGTTTCAAAAACAACTCAATTGACAAGAAACAAGTTTTTCCCATTTGTAGAGAATCACCATTATAGTGTAAAGAATACGAGTGGGAGTAACTGGGTTTTCAAACCCGATTTTCTTGAAAGCTTAAAGTATTACTATTGACCCAAGTCTCCCCTATGTGCATGGTTTCAGAATATAGTTTGAAACAAATTACTTATTTCCCCACACATGCAAGTTCTATCACAACTCACGTTCCAAATTTATAGAATTAATGAAATGGAAACCTAGTAGAGGGTTGTCTCAACCCCTAAATATAACAATTTCTTATATTTCTGTACATCAAGTGCACTCTATAGTCTTTTAAAATTTAAAATTTTCCATAAATGCATAAACATCCTCAGTCTACTAATAACTTAAACATCTTCGATACATTTATTACACGATACATAAACTATGGAAATTAAGGAATGCAAGAATATTAAGGGCACCGGATCTGGTAGCTTCTTTTAAAGGAGGTGAAAGTCGGACAGTTTGGAACCGTTTCCGTGTCCATAAAAATGCAACAAATACGCGTACGTCGAGAATTTTTAATGCGTGACAGGCTCGCGTGTGATATCCTGTTCCTGCGTCGGTGGATCGTAGCGGGGAAAAATTTGCCCCGACGTATATTTAGACGCGCGACAAAGATTTATTAGAAACCGGACTGTCTGATAACCTCTCGACCTCTGACATATCAAGTACCGTCGCTGCTCGAAGGATCGGTAATAGATGCATGAACTCCTCACCTATCACGAAAGTTACGCCGGCTACCGCGTTTCCTCGAACAGGCGACGCGAACATTTCGGCGCATTTGAAAATGCCACTAACCGACAAATATAGCGTATTCGGACTGGGTCGGACGAGAAACTAGGCGTCTGACATTTCGAATGCAGAAAATACCGAATGTTATTATCGTACAACACGCAAATCTGTCCCGACACGCGAGCGTTATAACTTCGCTAATGGAAGCTATTAAGATACAAAATTGGAAACCTGCAACGGCGGTATCGGCAGATTTTTTCGAGAGGACCCAGATCAATTAAGAGATAAACAAATTGACGAATAAATTTGCCCACGATTATTTATTAGAATAGAATTTCAAACGAGACATCGAACCCTCCACTTAGCGGCGTTAAGTATGCTCGAGTGTTAAGATGAAAATAGCGACTTTCGTGATGAGGTCGTCGACATTAAACGCACACAGACCGACGTGCACTCGAAAACGTCTCTCGAGGTGCTAAAGGTCGAACAAGTGGGCTTGGTAATGAAAGTCGATGGTGCGTGACCTGACGAGTGTCGGTCAGAAACGGCCAACGCAAAAATTTCAATCGATTCACGGACACCTACTCCATGCCGATACTTAAGATTTCATATCGTTAAACTAGTTGCAACTTATGAGAAATATCTGATTCTTCAGAATGTCGTGAAATCGATTTGGACCCTATTAATCAACAATTGAACCAGTTCGAATTTGTTCACCAAACGACGAATCGTGAGTGCTATTGGTCAATTTTAGCCCACCATAAATCATATACAGGGTGTTCCTGAGAAAAATTTTAATGGGACACAAAATTGTAAGGTTGTCTATACGTCAGTAAGTATAGTTTTTCAAGCTGAGTGAGAAGCTTTACATGTTAATAACTTTTTAACGAATCAACAAGTTGGTATTCTTGATTTTCGTCTCATTTTGGCCTTTAAAATATCCCAGTAAAATTTTATATGCCGGATAATTGGACTATATCTACATATGAAGTGACAAAAATGAGGAATATAATCACAGATCTCTAGCCACACATTATATTTGCGGTTAGGAATTTTTTTCTCGAAAGTGCGTAGAATTTCGGGGGTATGTCTATTCACCAAAAATGCTTGTAATTTACCCCTGTAACTAAATATAATTTTTTTAGTATGATTTGAAATTTTTTACTTTCGTCTAAAAATTTCACACTTTCCCGAATTTTTTTCTCGGAAATGCGTAGGAATTCTGGGGTATGTCTATTTACCAAAAATGATTGTAACTAACCGCTGCAACTAAAAATAATTTTTTCAGAAAGATTTGAAATTTTTTAATTTTGTCGAAAAATTCCACACCTACACGAATTTTTTTCTCGAAAGTGGCTAGGATTTCGTGGATATGTCTATTCACCAAAAATAATTATAATTGGCTCCCACAACCAAAAATAATTTTTTCAGAACGATTTGAAATTTTTTTTTTCAGGGTAACCAGACAGTTCTGGTCAGACATTATATATTCAGTAATGAATTTTTTTCTCGAAACTGCGTAGGATTTCGGGATTATGTCTATTCACCAAAAATGTTTATAATTGACCCCTGCGACAAAAAATAATTTTTCCAGAATGCAGATTACCGTTCTGCCGCCAGAACTTTAAACATTAATAACTTTTCAACAAACCTCAATCAACAAATTCATATTCTTGATTTTCGTCTTATTTTGGCCTCTAGAACCATCTATTCAAATTTTGGGTGCCCAGATACCCCGTATAATAATACCACATGACTCGAACAAGAGGGTAACAAACTTTTATTGGAAAACCCTATATTTTCTGTGACTTCCAATTTCCAAGGAAACGATTTCGCCAACTTTTATTCCCACTGTTTTCCAATTTACGATGTCCCGTGGAAGCAGCAACAGTGTCCCGACTCGTATTCAGCCGCGACCGTCCTCCCCGAGAGCGGTGTCTGCAATTACGAGATTGCGAGCCGCATTTTACGAGCTTTCCCTAGGGAAGTTCCGCGATGACGAGCAAGTTACGAGATAGACTCCCGTCGTTCCGAAGCCGCGTAGAAGCCAAGTAGCCTTCGAGTTTAACCGTGGAAATTCACATCGCGGCGAAGAACGCGATGAAACCTCGAACGGCTGACGGTGCACGCAAATGAAGAGGATTTCGACGCGCCAGACGAGTCGTAAAGCGCCCACGTGTAAGATCGGAACGAACGTGGTAACCTTGGCTGCAATGCTAATTGCGAGAATTCTTTCCAGCCGTTTTATGGAGATCTTCCTGTGCCCAACGACACTGCCGCGGTAATCGTGTAACAAGATCAAATAGTTTCCAATTCGTAGGGACGAAATTTATTCCACCGATAGGGAAGGATGATTCGAAGTTCTCGCGTAACGGTACAGGTGTGTACAAATCCTATTTCAGGCGCGAGAGGAATTTATGATTCGAACGCCTGATGATACCGTGAAATCGTAAACTCTAAGAGAGACTTACTTTTGTATTTCTTCCCTTTGAATGGAAACGATTCGTTTTATGTCGGGGGGAACAAGCGGCAACCGAGCCTCGAAGATTTATAGCTAGAGAAGATGAATATAACAACGGTAGGCGAGAAATATGAAATGACACCGAGGTTTTATTGTGCTTGGATTACGGTTTATTCAATCGTCGATACACATACCATCCCACTGGAGTGAGTTTTCCGTGTTGCATACCGTATCGGTAGCCCGGAGTCGACGAACCTAAGATCAACGACCTCGAGATCATAGAATACAATACCGAAGCGTGTAAACGTTGGTTTGAAATTTCTAAATAGAAGAACCACGGAGTGATTTGGTTGTCGCCGAGCCAACCATCGAGGCTTTTCAGCGCGATCGTGCTGGGGAAACAGCCTCGGAGAAATACGCCCGTCGCGGCGGCGTCGAAATTGTTACCGTCAAAACAGCGATGGGTTTATTCCTTCCTCTCTACTAAGAAATAGAAAGACACGACTTTTCCAGAAGGTAAAAAGATCCAAGAGGCTGAACTTCGACGATACGTATAAAATAATCTTCGTTGCGTAATAATAATACGAAATCCTAGAAGCAAATAAACTGATCGTGAGAGTAATTAAACTTTTAGTTATATCAGTTCGTCGATGTCAGACCAAAGTCAGGATACAAAGTTTAAGTACCGAGGAATGTAAACGTTTCAACAGTCTCGAGGCACCCCAGGAGTTTAAAGTTCTCGTGGGAACCTGGAAGTTCTGAAAGCGCTAAGAGAGTACCCCTGAAACTTCTTTGGGGGGATAGAGTCATAGCAAATTTCTAAACAAACATGGAAGACAGTATAAATAATAGTAGTTGATATACTCGTCGGATGAAGGATGAAAAGCTGTTTAAAATGAGCATTTGTACAGGTCGATAGCGTAATTAGTTCCGAAGATATAGCGATTTTAAGTTGGATCGATAGGATTTTTAAACAGTTTGTTCAAATTCAATACCAAAGTTTAACAAAAATTTCAGCTTTATATTGATTTCTAATATCGTTAAATTATAAATAAAACAGTATAGAACGCATAAAATTTTTGTACCAGTCAGGTACTAGGGGAACTCCCCCTATCCCATGATTTTGGGAATCCCTCGTGCTTGATCCCACGAATTTTTGGTGTCAGGGCAAGTCCTCTGTATATGGTTTCCCCCATCACTGTATCAAATCCTCCTACAGTCTTCGACGTCGAGTCTCACGGTCCCGAGAACCTGGGGAACGAATCCCTTGACCTCAGACGTCCGTGCATAGCTCTACGACCCCGAGAATTCACCGTACGATCCCAAAGAACCTCGAACCCAAAAGACTCTTCCTATCTAGGATCGCTATTCTAAAATCCTCGGTGTCGAGTGTCGCGACACGTAGAGGATCCATAGTGTCCATTCGTCCCCTGATACTAAAGTCATAATCAGCAACCTGGCGACCTGGACAACTACCTGCTCAGCCTTTTGCCCTACAACCACGCGTGAGACTTGTGGTCAGGTATTCCAACCAAATGTAAACACCACGTGCCACCGTAGAATGACTCGAAGGCTGGGCAGTTTCGTTTGAATTTTAGGCTCACGCTGTTGGACGTTAAATCGTAGGGCAAGGGGTTAAAGCTAGTACCTCTCCTTGCAAGGCCAAAGCAATCTCTTCGCCTGAGAAT